ACTCCTGCTTTATGTGTTTTTGTGTTTGCTGCTAACCAAACTACAGTGTTTGCAGGGAGAGTGGAGGATGGCAGAACTTAAAACAGCTAAACCCGAAATGACTTTGGAATTTTACATTTTATGATCAGATGATTTCATGACAGGAAAACTGCATGATCACCCTTGCTGGATAATAGGTAAAGCTTTTCCTCTGTGAAATAGTTTAGCATCACGCATTGATGGTGACTAGGATCACTGCATACATCTTCTCTGGCAACTCTGCTTCCTTCTGAATAGTAGTCTCAGAAAATAGTGTTTGCTCAGCAGATTTCAGCCTATATTTCTGTCACTGTTGACAAGGCTAGAAATGACTTCTCTGGTGAGTTACTGTTCTTACCCAGGGTGCCTTTATTGGCTTAGTTTAGACTGTTACAGCTTCATCATAATAAAGTCTTCTTCAGGAATAAATCAAAAGTTGGCCAGAGGCTGTGTTTTCTTTCCCTCGGAGGATGTTGATTTAATTAAATGATTTGGTAGAAATACATTGACAAAATTATCTAGATTAAAAAACTCTAATGAATATTTAGGTTGTTTTTGTGAAGTATGTAATTTTGAAATGAAAATTAAAAAGCTACAAGAAGATAAGCAAACACAGCTTTTTCAGTATTTCTGAAATGAATATCCTTCCTTCTATGTTCCAGTTTCTCAGACATTTAAAAAAAAAATGCTTTTAGAAGCTGAGGTGTCAGGATTTCCTAAAAAACAGAAATCCTCAATTCTGACAAGCTCTGAATTCCCTTGCGCTCAGCTCAGAAGCTGCAGCAGTTGCAGATGTGTCACTTACATCACTCTCATTCTTTGTGATCAGTGGTAGCTTCTGACAATCCTACAAGCCTAAGCTGCTCTCACTTGATATTTGTATGGAAAAGACGTGCACACAAGGCATGAAATAGAGTAGATCAGGACAGATGATTCATCTCCAGCCTCTTTATCATATCATTTATGATTCCCTAAACGCTCTGTTTCTGAGGTATTTGAAGATTGTCTCTTTTCACCTCATCCCATGCGGATTAAAATGGATGACTGATTAAAGTGGATGGGTGATGGGCTGCAATTACACTTCGTCCTACTACTTTGCCTCAAATTTTGTCATGACATGTATTTCTTGATGCAAGAAGCACTGGAGGAGGAGACATTTCTATCATCTATTCTGATCTCCTATGTAAAAAATAAATTGTACCCAGTACCTCTGAGACAAGGAAATGTATTCCTTGGGATGAGAAGTATAGAAGCTAAAATCCCAGGTGGCACAAACTGACTGCAGATATATCGTTTCCAGTAGCTGCATAAGACAAAAAAATTCTGAGGCTTGAATCCAAAAAGCTATTAGTATGTACAGAAAAGCAGAAGGTGATTATAATGACATTCCTCTATGCTGTATTTTGCAGCCACAGAGAATGGAATAACAAGTCACATAAATGGACTGAGACATTCTGAAATGAGCAGGGGAACCAAGCCAGTGGGTAAAGCCACATGCTGGTCAAGGAGAGACAGGGGATGATGGAAGGCAATCAGCAAAGGAGAAGCAAATCCTGATGCCCAAGAGAGTATTCCCTTTTATTTCAAGGGGAAGAGGACTTGGTTCCATATATGTTTAATCATCTTACAAATTGTAAATTAAAAATTAAACTAGAAAGAAAATCCTTCTTACATTCCCAAAGTTCTTCTTTCTCTTATTTGATTTCATGCAGGCTACACACATAGCAAAATCCAAGTCTACCCATCATTGAGTTCTTCTAATGCTTCTAATTTCCTAAACTAGTAAGGCTTTCCCTGCAGGGCAAATACAGCTTTGATTTCCTCGTGTCCACTGAAATCGTTCCCTGCCCTCTGAGACATCATTAGTACATCATAAGAAGGGCACTACAAAGTCTCCAGAGCAATATATGAAATGCTCAGAGCAGGAGAGAAAACACACCGTAGTAGTTTAGAATAAGTAAAGGCCACACCACATCTCATGGGTCCCTGCTCACAGACAATTTATATTCTTAGCTCTTCCCTGAATGGGTGGAGGAGAGCCAACTCGCCCTTTGTCCTCACAGAAAGCTTTAAATGAAGCTGAGGTAGGCTGGTCACGTGTGGGACAAACCACACACCTACAGCTTCCAGGGTGGTTCCAGCAGCCTGCTCCAAGGCAGGAAACAGGAGAGGCAGAACCAGGGCAGGAGCACCAGGGAGAAGCACCGCAGAGGTGCCAGCAGTTGGGATGAAGGCCTCATGCTGCGCATGGGGGCAGCCCACATGCTCACAGTCCACTTGAAGGTTTCTCTGCTAGGTCTCGTGGAGAGATGTGCCACCCTGGCTCCAAACAGGCAGTAAGAAACAAAACGAGGCCATTAGCTCTCCCCAGAGGTTCCCTCACCAAAGCTGAACTCATCTGGCATGCACTTCTGAAGCACAGCCAAGAATTTCCTATAAGCCATAGCTGGTTAATTTCTTTTTCAGGAAAAAAAATGGATCTGGTGTTAATAAGGGCCACCCAGGTGACCTATATCATTACAGAAATACATCTGACTTGGTATGTGTACGTGGTTCCTATGCCTTAATGTTATCACAGATTAATACTTAAGTGCTTTTTTTACTCCAAGCACTATACCCTCCTAGCCTGTGTACTTTGTGAAGAATGACTGCTTCCTATCAAATGAAAATTAATGCACATTTTGACAGAACAAAGATATTATGTCTCAACATTTGCAAAACATTACCTGATGCATAACTTTTGTATGGCTTAACATGTTATTAACAGTACTTTAAATGTTATGTTCTTTTTTATTTTAACATGTATATCTGAAAATAGCCCCTTTCAAATTGACTTGCAGTTATGTCTTTAAAAGCAAACTTTAAACATAATTTGCTGCACATACAATTATCCGAGTAAGTTGCATAGTTTAAACAAGTTTAGTTGTGCTTTGTAGCAGAACTCACAGTAATTACTCATCTCTTAAAAATATTACTTGCAGATGTGAAAGATGATACATTTAAGCATTTTTTTGACATCTAGACATTAACAATATGAGTTTTTGTCACTCTTCCACTGACTTCTGTTGTTCCTCACCCTTACACTGATATTAGATAGAGCATGGACATTTAATGGACACAACTGAAATAATTACAAACACAATTTTTAAAACTCCATTGTCAGGAAGGGAGAATTAAGAACTTGGGTTGGTTTGAGGTATCCAGCCCTCAGGAACATACTATGGTTGTATGCATTAAGCTTTGTTGGTTTTACCATGTGTTACATTTAGATTAAAAATAGAAGGCACAGGTGTTTTACAAGGCGCCATAATTAAGTCAACCAACAAAACTAAACATTACATTACCAAGCCAGGGGTCTATATCTCAGCAGTGACTTCTTCCAATGCATTTTCATTTGAGGAATTTATTGCTTCTGAAAAGGGGCCAGGGTATGTCTGTGCTATGCAGTTCATTCCTTGTGCCATACCAATGTCTCCTCGAGAACTGAAGGTAGGGCAGGATCTAGTCCGTGCATAGTTTTGTTGGAGTCCAGCTTGGCCAACCATCTCACTCACAGTGTTCACTGGCGAAGCCCTCCATCTTTGTCTCTGTAGTTGCTCTTCTTTACACTTAATGGAGTACCAGGCCAGAAAAATAAAAAAGAATCCTACAAATTTGAGAGCAGCAGCCAACCCAAAGTAGACAAAACGAAATGAGGTGACATCGTATTCCCAGCAAGATCCTTGTACGCCACAATCCTGTTGCCAAAGCATGCATGTGGTATCAATAACAGCCCCAAAATAAATTGGAGTGGGAATGTAAGCTGAAATAAAAATAGCAACAGAATTAATACGTGTTAGCAGATAGAGGAAGACTTCCAAAGAAACTATGTATGTAAGCCAAACAGGTGTAGGTCAAGAAGTTCCGAGATTTCTACCCCTCTATTCTTCCCACCACCAGTACTTATCCCACTTAAGGAACACCACATAAGTGACAGTGTTAAAGTAAAAACAGCGCAGCAACACCTTACAATAGCTACTGCACCACTCTGTAGAGCCCAGCCAGCTCCTCATGAACTGTCTGTCCCCCCAAAGAAACTCCAGCACTCTCAGGAAATAAAATCAGCAGGAAAAAAAAAATGAGATGTTATCTCCACAGTGTTACTTGTTGAACATCCATTACCCATAAGCTGGGAAAGAGCGGAGATTGCTGTTTTAGATTAAGGAGAAAAAGCCACAAAAAATTGCAAAACGTTTCTCTTACCGAAGAAGGATGGAAGTGATAAGACCACTAGAGTTTCAATTTCTCTTTTGAAGATATCTTCCTCAGAAACAGAATTTAACATCTAAAACTGCCAGACCCTTAAATGCTCTGTTTTCCCTGGAAATACGACACCTTTAAGATGAGTCAGAAAGGGCCTTCCTCAAAGAAAACTCTTACTTTACTGACCAGATGCAGCCACAAGTGCCTTTCCTCTTGTTCTCACTTAGAATAGTCATTGCTTGCTCTCTTCACTACTATATTGCTTAGTCAATTGATTATATACTATTTGGTAGTAGCTGAACACCAGGACCAGTTGGGATTTTAGGAGTTCAAGAGGATGAGCACTGGCACTTCATCTTCTTTTCCAAGTAACTCTTGTTTCTGTCCTCAAATACACAATATTATTTACAGGAGAGGAGAAGGACTGAAGACAGACACAATCCTGCTATGGACAATGTTTAGAAGACCAAAGTTGTTCTTACTGTGTCATCTAACTGGATCAGGAAATTATCAATAGTTGTCAGAAGAAAATATTAGTTTGTCAAAAACCAAATCATGTCAGGTAGGGTTTTTAAATAAAACTTGAAACTGTTACAATACCTCTTTCTGGGACAAAAATATCATTCCAGAAAGTCAATAATAAAAATAAATATTTTAAATACATTCTCAGTTACAACATTTTCAGAAGCTATTAATTTTAAGTTCCTAATACAATTAATCCGGTCATTAGTGGCATATTTATGGAATTTTACTACTTTGATGTTACATTTAAGGCAAACATCACAAACCTTTTGGAAACTCTGTGGTTTCTGTGAAAGCTTAGTAGCTTACATGACTTACCAAGAGTTCGTAATAGAACAAACTGCATTCCTAGTGCAAAGGGCCGTTCCCCATCTTCCACAGACCTAGCAGACAAAAAGAAACTTCTTTACAAACTAGTCATAGTCACTGTGGAGAGTTCTGACTTTACATCCTGGCTTTTTTTCTGAGCTGTAATACATTTTTGTCAACATCCAAACAGTCTATGTAAACATCCTTCCATTTCAACATAAGCAATATGAGATTCCTTCCAATAGTTTTTTTTTTAAAAAAAGTCAAGCTTTCAAAGGACTGTACGCAGAGTAGTGATATTTCACAATGCCACAACAAACAACTTCAGTAAATCACAAATTATTTTTTTAATCTTAACCAAGATATCTGAAATTCAGATAGGCAACTTGTAGTGACAGTGGAATATAAGATAAAGAACAAACAGAAAAACTGCAGTCAAATAGTCAAACTTTTCAAGCCAAGCACTCAGCCAGAAACTGAAAAATCAGAGAAATAATTTGGGCCACAAATCTTGGACCAACACGCTGTGCACAGTACATGGTTTGGGATGGTTGGCATCACTGTTCCATGGACTAGTGCGAGGGAGGCATTCTCTTCCTTGATGAACATTACAAATTCTGCTGAATATTTCCCTTATGTATCTCACTAGAGTGAAGTTCTCTGCAGTACTGATGTTCACTGGTTGCAATCTACCTTTCCATAACTGCAGTACAATGACAATGTGTTATTATTGTTCTTACTGTGCAGGTGGAAAAGTCAGAGAAGGAATACAGTCCGAGGTATCCAAATGACAGTGGAATATCAAGGTGGTACATTTTTATTTGTTCTCTCTCTATGTGGTCTAGAAATTGTTGGACATTTCTTGTTTCCCAAAGTGCATTATCATGTGAATATTCTACATTCTTCTGACACAGACACTGGTGACAGCAAGCACAGCAAAAATACGTACAGGAGCCTATATCTTTGTTCCTACCTGAGTGTCACTATGATTGCTGACGGCTGGGCGCACGCTGTTATAAGGGTCACTATGAAGAGAAATATCAGGAACGGGATAAGTGTGTTGCAGGTTCGATCGCACTTCCCAGAAACAGCATAGCCGTTCTCATTCAGGTAGGTTTTGACGATGACCAGCCGGAGCTGGCTGCGCTGGCCCACTGTTGGTGGTGTGATAACCTGGCGGCTTTGGACGCAGGCACACTCTGTGTAATTTCTTACCTGGGCAGAGGGGAAATGGGAAACAGAACATTTCCACATGAAAACTCTTGTGAGAAAGACATGGTGTGTCCTATGTAACCTTCTCAGCAGGCATCAAATACTGCTTCCTAATCAGATTTCTATGGCCTCCAGCATCATGACCCCAGATACAGTCAAGATTACCAAGTTGGCCCAAATACCCCATAATAGATCTGCTTTGCCATTGCTCATGACTTCCACCAGTCCATAGAAACACAGAATGGCCTGGGTTGAAAAGGACCACAATGATCATCTAGTTTCAACCCCCCTGCTACATGCCAACCAGCAGACCAGGCTGCCCAGAGCCGCATCCAGCCTGGCCTTAAATGCCTCCAGGGATGGGGCACCCACAGCCTCCTTGGGCAACCTGTTCCAGTGCATCACCTCCCTCCGTGTGAAAAATTTCCTCCTAATATCTAACCTAAACCTCCCCTGTCTCAGTTTAAAACCACTCTCCCTTGTCCTATTGCTATCCACCCTCATAAACAGTTGTTAGGCAAGCAACAGTTAGGCAAGCATTTATAAAAATAAGAGTTTTTGAAAACTTTGCAGAAACAATTCAATCACTTCTGAGAAGGATGCTGGAGGAAAAGATTAATTCTAGTATATGATCAAAACTATGAGGAAACAGTCTTTAAGCAGAACTGACAATACCATATTCTGCCTATTTGGCAGGCTGTTCGCTGTCATCTTCAGGAGGTATCTTCTGCTATCTCTGTGGTAACCTATCCAGACTTGGATAAAGAGCAGAAAGCTGTGTTTCACACATGGAACCCAGAAACTTTCAGCTGAGTGTGGAGTATGGATATGGATGGGATGTGGACAAGAGTAAAAACAGAGAATAAGGTGAACAGAGTTAAATAGTGATACTGGAAGACACAAGGGATTCCTGAATAGACAAAAGTTGAAAATAGCATGAAAAGATTGTGTAGTAAACTGGCATTTCAGAGGCAAAGGGTACTATGATCTGAGCCATATGAGGAAAAGCTAGGTCAGAAATAGCCTCCCGTTACATCTTTTCTACTACAGTTTTTTAATGGCAGAAGTTTGTGTGGTGAATGAGAATATTCCTGTGTTAGGGAAGCAGATTAGGGCACATGTAACATTAGAGGCTTTGATTTTTATGTTCACATTCATAAATGTAGGACCACAAATGCACAAAATCTACATTACAAGACCATCTTAATATTGCAAATTTAAGCACTTAGACATCAGGAAATAACCGAATTAGGGTTGCCTGTCAACTTCAATTTATACTCCTATTCACAGTTGTGTTATGGCATTGCCTTATTTTTATTTTTTTTTCCATGGGATTTAGCTGAACATCCTAATGAGAATTTATCCAGTATTTTACTACACATTTTTAAAATATGATCCCAAGTATTTTTCTCCTCACACTAACAGAACTCTACTATAGAGTGGCTCATATTTCATATGGATTTTTTTTTTTTAATCAAACTCATTATTATAGCTTAACATTTTCAAAAAGGTATAATTTATCTTCAAAACAGCTGAGATGAGAATGAGACACTGATGGTGTTATCTCTATTTCGTAGCTAAGTAACTGAAACAAATCTAAAGATTCAAAAATGTGAGTGGCAAATTTAAGGGAACCAAGATCCCTTTTTTCCAAAATATTTTTCCTTATATACAACTTAGCATTTCCTAAACACAACTTTTTCTGCCATCAGATGAAGATTTAGGCACTCAGTGCTTCTGCAAATGACACTTCTGGTTACTGCTCATGCTGATCATCCAGAATATGAAGAATAAAAAATTAATGACCAACTGGAATAAATTTGGTCTAAATGACTTGCCCAGTATCGTTTAGGAATGGAAGCAATAACAGAATCCAGTTTCTTAGGTTCTTTGTTTCAAGGTAACTCTCCACTGTCTAAAATTGCAAGTATTTGTTTTCTTCTTACAGTCCTCATTTTAATCTCCTTGTTGCTTTCAAATAGGCCTCCTAGAGAAAACAGTCTTCTTTAGTACACAATCTTGGCTCATCATCAGAGAAACCAAGTTTGCGCACTGAGACAGAGATCTTATGCAACAGAAATTCTGGAGTTTACATAAATCAGTTCTGAACTCCACATGGGCATCCTTTTGCATAATTCCAATTTTTAAGTGGCTAATTTTGAAAGCACTGTATTTTATAAGCTTAAATACCAATGTTATAGCTTAGCAACATTTTGTGTGCTACAGAGTGACAAAGGCTTGTAGTCGTTTCTAAAAGCATCCTACATAAAACATTATTTTATCAAGAAATGTATTTTCCTACTCATTCTATTTTCCATTGTCTACCTTCAGGCCATGAAGAATCTTCTCTTAAACCATAGTAGAAAATACTGTGTTTCAAAATCTGTGTTAAAGAGTACAAATTACCAACATACTTCCCTATTAAATGAATTATTAGTGTCTGTTTGATAACAGATAAATTGCAGCAAAGATTACACAACTGAGCCAAAGGAACTTCTACTACAAACTAGGAAGACATTCAAAATAAAAATCAAAATAAAATTAAAATTAAAACAAACAAGAACACTGTTCTAAGTCTGCTCTAAGTGGAATCTACACAAGAACCTGCATTTATGAAACATTATCCAGTCAAACTTGAGACAGGGAAGTGCTGGAACTACTACCCTCCTGTTCACAGGCTGGCTCAGAACTGCAAATCAGCAGGGTCAAATTGTACCTTTCAGTCCAGTATACTGCAAGATTCCCATGGTATAACTTTACCAGCAGGATGCCTTTCCCCAGCCCAGCATAACTGGAAGACTGGGCTGTAACGGGTAATGCATATCCAAGAGAGAAAGTGGATTATTAACATCCTTTAGTTTCTGGTTACATGAGTTCAAAGGTAATCACATACCATGAAGGGGTCTAGAGAGGGTCAGGATGATGGCAAAGCTGCTTTACAAGAGCAGAATAAATTGGCAGTCTTTATTTACCAACACAAACAAAAGATCTTCAATGCACCGGTGCAGGTGGTACAACCACTTATGTGAAACAAGGAGCCCAGCACAAAAAACAGTGGCTTTCAACAGGCCATGATAAAACTCACAAAGGAATTTAAAACATTTTCCAATTACCTGAAGAGTTAAGTTCTTCCTTCCATTCAAAGAGGAAACAACAACAACAACAAAATACCCAACTACTATTAAAAATGATATTGATGAACTTGTGAAAAGACTGCATGCTTCAAGGATAGATGTTGGCTCTAGAAACAGAGCAGTCTTCAATCTGCTCCAGTCAGGGGCCACTCATGTTTGTAGGTTGGTGGGTGAAGGACTTACCCCTGTACTATGGTTTCCACCATTGATGCAGCCAGCCAGGCAAGGATTAAAATACGTTATTCCATCTGATCCACAGACAGGCTCATACTCATGAATTTTACATCCACAGTTCACGTTACAGCTCCCAGTGAGATTCCTGTGGGCCATGGCAAGAGTGGGACTGAAGAAAGAATAAAGAACACGCTAGTAGAGCAAGCACAGGTATCCTGCTGTTCAGAGGAGAAAACATCCTAATCATTAACACTGGAACTTACACTTGATGATTACAGAAAGACTGCATTAACCCTAGGTCATATGCTTGATTTGAACTACATAGATGAAAGCCTTAGATATCTCTGCCAACAACTGAAAGAACAATATAAAAGTAATTCCAAAGTTTAAACCTTGTACATTTGTGTGGGTAAGAGTTGTATTTTATTCTCCTTATTTTTCCTTTTAAGAGTTAAGACATTTTATACAAAGTGAGCTGCAGCAATTTGCAGTTGATTAGTAGTGAAGAGCCCAGTGATGAGACGTGAGCATCATGTGAACTAATTAGCCATCTCTTCCAACATACCAACAACTGCTCCAGAAAGGCAATGCTTGTTTAACTGATATGCACACTTGAAAAATACAACAATCTCCCTGATCTTCTACATCTGGAAGATCACCATGCTATTACTAAACATCTTGAAAACAACCACTATGCCATCTCCCTTTTTTCTGAATTTTCCCAAAGATACTGCCAAAGCCCGACTTTCTAAGTTCTCTCACAAAGAGTTTGGCTATAAGCTCTGAACCAGTGAGTTCCAGTGTGCAGCTCACACCCGGAATGAAGAGTTTGCCAAAAAAATTATCCCATTGTGGCCCTGCTTTACCACCGCTACCACGGCAGCTCAATCCAGAAGTGGCAAAGGCTGTAAAAGCAGAGTCCATATTCATAAGATCACAGATTCATCATCATCAGAAGACCAGCACACTGGTCAAATGTTACTTTTTGCTACTTTTAGAAAGCAGCTCTGCTTACAACTGACGGTCAGATGGCACAAAAAGAGGTTTTGATTCCAGTTCACAAAGTGGGATGGTGACCAACTCCTCCACCTGCTGCCTGGTCCACCACATCATTCCAGCCCTGCCCAGAACAACTCCCAAGTCACTCTCAAACTGCCAGCTCTGGGAGCAACTACTGGGAGAGTGACCCAGCTGCTTCCTGCCCTGAAGCAATGACCATGGTGGCAGGGGAATTTTAATGCTTCTGGGTATGGTGAGGACTTGGAGTGCAAAGCAGAGGAGGAGAAAGTCTTTTATAGTGAGGATGGTGAGGCACTGGGACAGGTTGCCCGGAGATGTGGTGGATGCCAATTCTTGGAGACATTCAAAATCAGGCTGGGCAGGGCTCTGAGCAACCTGATCTAGCTGTAGATGTCCCTGTACATTGGAGGGGAGTTGGACTAGATGGCCTTTAAAGGTTCCTTCCAATTCTAAGGATTCTGTGATTCTATGAGGAAAAATATTAGCAGACATATCAACCTCACTGAAAGAGAATAATAAAACGCCTACATAAATTCATATACAGATCCTGGTCATATACTAACAAAGATTTAAAAAATAAAGTTAAAGAAAGATAAAATGGATACTCATTTGTTTCTTCATAAACTAAAAACAGACTGTAACAATTAGACTCTGTAAATTGAGTTCATATATGAGTTCCAGTGTGCTGGAGGCAAGGTGTCCAGTTTGCCTTTCCTAAAACCTCCTTGTTCATTAGGTGATGATAAAACTGCATTCTTCTGATGGAGTCTTCTAGTTCATAAACCCGATATATTTCTCCCATTAACACTAAGCTTCTGCACCCACAACATCTAACAGCAAGAACCGTTCTGCAGCCTACCGTCTGCTACATGAGATGTTGCTTGTTTTGAATCTGACTCTTCGAGCTTTGCCCCTACATCTGCTATTTTGCTTGTAAATTGAAAATATGAAGGGTCCTGAAAAAAATATAAACTTCAGGGTTCATTTGACCAATGCAAAAACATTTACAAACTCTAGTGATATTTTGTAATTGCAACTAAATAAATCACATTTAACATTAACTCCTGCATGACAAATGAGGGTATCCATTGCAACGTTTCTGAAGGTATAGGCACAAAATTTTAACTTTTATTCATGCTATATTACTGAATATGCTAGATCAAAAAGGAAACAACTGATCACTTTAGATATATCATACAGACATACCTTGAAATGTAAGTCATTTTTTGTGGTCATTACACATTCAAAATATAACAGACATTAACTTTTAAATAGTCTGTTTTATATTCATACCTATTTTTACTACCAGAAACCAGTGACTTACCATAATATCTGTCTTGTTTGAGGTTGCTAAATTAATTTACTAAGTGGAAAAGCAAGCTTCTGCAGTGTGGTTTATTGCTGACTCAATTTTCTGCAAATCATTTGGAATTTCATCTGGTTCTAAAATACTGCCAGCAATATGAAGGCATTAAGCCAGTGTAAAAGTTACCTGAAAAATCTTAGTCATACCAATCTATTTGCAAGTGGCAACCTTGGCTGAGCCTGGCAACTCCAGTTCCTATTTCCTAAATACCTTTCTGCTTAATGAATTCCACATTCTAGAATTCCACACCCACACTCTGTCTTCACCAAACAAGGTTATTCTAAACAAACAAGAACTAAAAAGCAGCTGACGTTGATGTTTTCAACTACAGCTTCTCCAGTTACTGAGGAAAACCACAATTTTATTATGTTTTTGAGAACTGCAATCTATAGTTTTCTGTGATGCTTAAGTAGCATTTTCCTGTGCATTAGTGTAAATCTTGTAAGTCTACAAAACTGAAACTCTTCTAAAGACAGAAAGTCATTTTGAAACCACTTACTTTATAGGTTGTAGTTTGTAATATCTGAACCTAAAAGTTTTTAGGCCATCCAGGTGGTGAAACCAAAGGGGTATGAATATAGTTGGCACTTCTGAAGACCTCCAACAGTTCAAAACACAGAACTGAGGGAACATGACTGCTCTGCAAGGGAAGGTGAACTGGGAGTGACAGCAAGACCTGATCAGAAAGACTCAAAAGAAAGGCAGGGCAAGCCTTCACCTCCAGTTTTCATCAGAACAACTCAACAGAGCTGATCCTGAGCTCCCTAACATAAGTGACCAAGCTTGCAGAAGCAAGGGAAAGAGCCCCACGCCCTGACACTTCATAAGAAAATCTCTCCTGAAGGAGAAAGCTTACTTTTCTTTGTTGGCTACGGAAGTGCCTGAGCTGGGAACAGTGAGGTTCAAGATCCTCCTCATCCTGAAGGGATTCAGACTTTTACCTCCTCATTGGCATTTTTATCAGCACTCCAAATTTGAGTCTCTTTCCATTCTACCTGCTGAAACTGAACTCAATACCAATCCCATTCATGTCTCCTTATCAGTGATTTTTTACTGCCATATTTGTAAGCAAAACCTGGAGCAGACTCCAGGACTCAAAGCCACTTCTCCCAAAGGAACTCTCCTTTCAGCAGGTTTTAAAATTAGATTCTTTTCCAGCTTACATTCTAATTCTTCTTCTGTACCTCTATCCATTCCTCATTTTTTCTTTTCTCTTCCCCTGTATCATATGGCCATTGCTACAAAACAGCTTCAGTTTCACAAAAGGAATGGAGACCAGAAGACCGAACCAATGCAATGGCTATGGTGCTCTTGCAGACATCAGGAATTCAGAGTCAGGTACTGTCTACGAAAATTGCTGGCCAGAGGTAAATTGCAGAAGGTAAGCAACTCATCTCCTTTTCTTATCTCCTAGCAAAAACACTCTATCAGACATTTCCCATCTTCACAAAAACTGTTAGGCATAGTAGTCAATGTTATCCAAGTAGGTATTATTGGGGAACATACATATAAACTTTGTGGATTTGGATGTATTTCAAATGCTTCCCTCCTATCTTTGAGTTGCAGCAGCTTGAACATCTCCATTTCCTTGCCCTAGATCTTAAAATGCATGAGAACCTGTGCTTGGGCATTTCCAGGAGTCTGGACAAAAAACAATTGCTTATTCGACTAATCCAGAAAAAGCACAAATTCTGAGATTTGTGAGTACAAAATTTGCTTTATCTGGGTTTTGGAAAGAATTTGGATATTCCACGCATGTCCCAGCATCATTCTTCAGTCACTGCACTAAGAAAATGTTTCTTTACCTTCTACAGGTCAGAACAGCAGGAGATGTGGTTTAAGCTCAGAAGAGAGCACCAGGACTGTCACTGGTTTGGTTTGTAGTCAGAGCTTACAGTATCTGAACAGTGAAGAGAGGTGGTGTTTTCAGAATGCAGTTTTGGATAACTTTTTTTTTGTCATGGCTATTGTTACAGAAATGAACAGTACCAGAACTTTTCGGTGTATCATTAGGTCAGTTTGAAAGGTTACTCTGAGCACTCCGTGTGCCACTTTCTACCAGCATTCAGTCTCTTTGGCCTTCACCCACAGCTTCTGGATCCTCTGCCAGGAGGATAGCTCTGCACAGCCCTGTAACACAATGCTTCCCTCCTTCCTCTTCCTGGCTTTTGATCTTTCCCTCTCCCCCCAAAGTTGGAAGCTAACAGTGTCTTCTATTACATCATTTATCCAACAGTCTACTGAGAAGATATGAAAAGCCGGTTTTCAATGAATAGTGAGATAATTTCTGCAAGGTTGAACATGATAGAGGTTGAACATGATAGGGAGGCTGCAGCAGTGAAAAAAAAGGTTTTTCCCAGACATTAAAATATATTAATGAAAATCTCCAACTTCAGGAAAAGAACATGATCTTCATCTTCTTACATCAGTGTAAAGGGGGCTGCAGGTACCATCCTACCCTCTCCTGTGTTCTGAGCGCAGCCCAACCCAGAAGACCTGAACTTCTGTCCAAAAAGGCAGTTTGGCCCTTTTAAACACAAACTAGGTACTGAGATCCATTAGGGCACGGGTATTAGCATATGTGCTGTAAGCAAAACTCTTGCCCTGGGAATTATGTTGGTATGCATAACATCCACACCAGGCACTGCAGTGCAATATTGGATTAACTGTGCTGCCTTGTTTGCCCTGCTGTTGGTATTGCTCAATGGTGCCACAGAGAGGCCACTGCTATTTCAAGCCAGCTCAAGTGTCTTCTCTAAACAGAACAGTAGGTATCCAGAGGA